CCTTATCACATAAACCAATTATCCAAAAAAATGATTGCAAACCCCCCCTCATTCGCAAAGACATGAATAAGGCTAAGAATTTGTTATTTTTTATGGCAATAAATTTATTGAAGAAAACATACGGTTAATAAATTAACTATTTCCCCTTCAACAAATTGTTCTAAAACAAATCTAAATACAAAAAAACCTCAAGCATTCTAACACCCCCATCACTATTACTATTACCCCAATCAACACAAATCACACCAAAACCACAAACGCACAGATAATCAAACCCAACATCACAATGAAAAAAACAAAACAAAGATTAAACCTGAATTGTTACTTCAACAAATAACAAAAAAAACTTTATTTACCGTGGCCAAACAAAATACAGCAAAAGCCTCCACCCCCACAAAACTACAACCATATCGCCACCCCCTACTCAGACCAAAACACTGCGCTCAGGCCAGATCACCTACAAACCCCCCCCTCACAACAAATCTTCACCACACAAACTCCCTCACAATAATATCAACATACGCTAATAAACGACGCTCTACATTGTCACTAAGGACCTCTAACTGATATTGACAACATTAGTATCACAAAATCCCCAACCACCTCAGCCCCGCTTCATACACACCCAAATCCCCCCCCCCGGGTAAACATTATCCTACTGGTCCACCTCCCTAAGGATATACATAGACAAAACTAATAGCAACACCCCTCGCCCAGCACACCAGCCTAGATGCAGCCCCGGCATCCACCCTACCCACTACAAACTAATCACCAGACTATCACCCCATCTTAATCAAACCATATACTGCCTCACCTCCAAGCATGGGCCCTCCACCCCCCTGAATAGTACACTTAATGACATACCATAATATACCCCCCATCGCGACCCCCTAAATAATAAACCATATTCACAAACCACCCACATATAACCATCCTCAAAACCCAATTACTAGAAAACACCAAACGCCACTGTTTATAATAACCCCTACATATCCTCAACTTTAGCCCCTCCCTACCGCCCAAACCCTCCAGCAAAGACCCCGAAACCTTCCAAATCCATCTTCCCAATCCCTACCAACACCCCCCGCCCCACTCTGCGGGATTACCCTTTCATCGCACAGGATTGTATTACCCCTAACCACACAACTAATTTCCGCTATTTTTTTTTAATTTTCCACCACCAACACGAATGTACCGCCCCCATTTTTTGCCCACCCATCCCACTGCACTACCATCACATCACTATCTCCTCATACTCATACAAAACCCCTCACCACCGACCCACTTCCCCCTTCCCAACAACCGACCGACCCACACACCACTCCCCCCCCCCCAAAGCTGCCACCCTATTTCCCCCACACCCAATCCCCTCCACCCCCTAAAACGCCCCAACTTCAAACACAAAGGGGAGTAGGGTGCCCACTTCCCTTCTAAACTCACCCCCACCCACACCACCTCATCCCGTACACCCCATAACTCCTTTTTCCCTACCCCTGTGAGACATAGTAGTCATTTGAGTCCCATGAACCCAAACCCCTCCTACCCCTCTCCCAGGTATGTCGTCAACTTACTTACACCCACCAGGCAACACCACACAACCAAATCAGGACCCCCCTACCACCCCTCACCCTGGGCCACAACAAACCCCCACACCGGCTTTGGGATAAACCACCTAAGGGGGGGTACGTTATAACAACGCCCACAACCCCCCATTAAATTACCCATTGTCTAGGGACTCCCTTATCCCCCCCATCCTTGGCCCCTCAAACCCTTTTCCAAAGAAAGTCCCCACTTAAAGCAACCCACCCAAGATCACTACCGAATGCCCCCTTTACCTCCTCCCAAATGAGAGTGACCAACCCACCGACCTCCACCACTTCCCACAAGGGGCAAGGTTTACTTACGTTCCAACCCCCCCCACCTAACACAAAACCATCTGATGACATTATCCCATCCGCAAACCCCAATGGGACAGGACATCCTGTCAATCACCCAACCAACCGCTCAACGGCCCCCCACTTGCCCCCTCCGATTCCCACCTACCCCGAGTTGCTAATCTAACAAAAAAATAACTACATCCCACCCCGCCAATACATATACACGCCAAAACCGTGCCCATACCCACACCTCCCCCTCCGCCCACAAGTACACACTGACAAATCCCCTACTAGGGACTTGTATACACACCGCCCAACTTGTTGACCACCGTGAGTCTACCAACTTGGCCAGAGCCTCAAACTCCCCTCTTAAACCCAACGAAACCCCTACCCCCCACACCACCAGCATATCCGCGATTACCCCAGTACCGCGACACCCCACCTTTTCCCTAAAAAATCACTTTCATTTTCACATCCCCATAAATAGACGTATGAGGGGCGTGGAGGGGTGGCAGCCAGAGTTCGCATTCCCCTACCCCCGCCTAATGATAACCCCCAACCGTACCAAGCACTAACACGACATTTGGGGGTCAAATGCCCCCCACAAAAAAATGAACCCAAAAAGATAGGTGTTACTTCCTAGCACTCCCCACCCCTGATTTTTTAGGTTCCGTTTACTTCATACCCAGGCCACAATCATTGCCACACCTTATCCACGGGTTCCCCACTCATTTAACTAGCGCCCCCATGTTGAAAAAAGACATAGTTAGGCGTGTAAGAGAAAAGACCCAAACAGTTTGGGCTCCCCCCCACACTCCCCACCTTGAATAGGCACAGAACACATTTAACACATTACATGACAAATCCCAAACAAAACTGGGGTCCCCACAATACAATGGATGGGTGTTTCCCCCAAAAATTACAACATCCGCCCACATTCATGAGTACTCAAAAACCCCGTTTTCATACATTGTATAGAAGGGCAAATGTTAAAGTCTATTAAACCCTAATATCTTTTCCCCATTATATCGCAAAGTTTCGCCATAAGGAGTCCCGAAACCTCTAGAAGATCAGACGCACAACGCTATAACCCCTATCATAACAACCTTTAGTGGCCACCCCCAGAATAGGCCAAAGGTAGTGTGGTGGGGTTAGAGTGCCGCCCAATAAGAAACCCTCGACTTTCACCCAACTCCCCCACTGTCCCAGACTCCACCATCCACCACTATTCTAAACACCACTAGTTTACTCTACTGTAAAGAATGCACCCGACACAACGCCAACCACGATCAAAAAACTAGAAAGGCTCTCCATGAACAAAAGAATTAATCCCGGTTTAACAACCCAGGAGGAAGGTTAATTAGGAACCCTCTCCCCCCCCGCCCACCTACCAAAGAAACATGTCATCAAGACAAAATGGAATAGAACCTAAATACCGATAGAGATTTATAAACCACGGGGCCTATGGAGACCCATCTCCACGTTCGACTGGCAAATCTTCGCAATTCACTGCCCGTAGACAATTACACAGCCGATAACCAGAAAAGGTGGAAACGCCTCCCCTCACATACCTAAAAAACTTGCCAACCAAAAGCCCCCCCCCAGACCCACAGTTAATGGAGCTAACAAGTACTAAACCCCAGAAATAAATTGACATTAAAGAAAGCAAGTTTAAAGATAAATATAAAATAACAAATAAAACATTTTATCTATACAAAAAAACATCACCAAACCAAAAAAACCAAACAAAACTAACCCACCCCAATACACCCCAAAAAAAAAAAAATTCAACAACCCTCATACAAAAACCCAAAAACATTTTACACTTATCCAAAATAACCACTCTCACCAACCCAAAAAAGCAAGAATCAAAACAACATTACAAACAAGGCAAAACTTAAACCACCACGATGCCATGCCCCCAACACCGCCCCTCACCCACCAACCTAACCCAAAGCCCACCAACCACCCCCCTCCCCCATCACCCCCCAACCCCCACTGAAACCCCCCCCCCCCCACCTACCCATCACTTAACACTAATCGCAACCACCCACCCACTACAATCCCCCCACATTCACCACATCCCCCACATCTCCCACAAATTCCAAGTTTTAATTTTTAATTACAAACACCTATCCCAATGCTATAAATAACACTTTTAATCAGGATTTTTAATATTCCAGTAAATTTGTATTGATAAAGACTCACTCACAACCAATCACAATCTTTATACTACAGAAATATCGAAAAGACATAAGTCCATAGGATTAACACTACTCCCACTCATTTACAAATAAAACATAGATTCCCAAAGAAAATTAGACAAAAACAAATTTAACAATGTACCCCACCAAAAACCACCCAAATACATAAAAAAGTGTTAACTGTAAAAAGGATCGTCATACACTAAATTGAGAGGCAAATATGTTATAGCCAAAACTCATTTTGAAGCTACATCTTTATTTTTTTCCTTTACTCTCACACTGATTATGGGTTGTTTCATGGATCTTGAATATATTGGGGAAAAGTTGAATTTGTCAGTTATTTTAATGTCACTCATTCAACACATGACATTATCTTTTTTTTTCTTCCCAGAAGTTCGCGTTTGATTTGTTTTTTAGCCCCTTTGCTTTTATATGTGAACAGCTAGTGGGGGGGGGGGGGGGGGGGGGGGGGGGGGGGGGGTTTGGGGTTGGGGGGGGGGGGTGGTGTGTTTGGGGTTTTGGGGTTTGGGGTGGGTGGGTGGGTGGGGGGGTGGGTGGGGGGGGGGGGGTGTGGGGGGGGGGGGGGGTGGGGGGGTTGGGGGGTTTTGGGGGGGGGGGGGGGGGGGGGGGGGGGGGTGTTTTGGGGGGGGGGGTTTGGGGGGTTGGGGGGGGTGGGTGTGTGGGGAGATTATTGGGTGCCGGTGCAGCCAAGCTCTGGACCTGTCCCAATCCAAGTGCTTGTATCCCTCTTCCAGGGTCTTCACTGCTCGTGTGAGTCAGTGCCACCAGGTGTTAGCACATCTCTTCCAGGGTGAAGGTCCTCCTCCAGACTCTGACATGAACCGTATGGTTCTGTCAGGATCCAAACCAGCAGTAGGCTCTAGCACTCCACAGACCGGGTTCCCCCAAGGCGCGGAATCTAAGCTCCGACCTGCTTGTTTACCAGGGCCCTGATGGTGGGGATGGACTTGGAGCAGGCCAAGACCAGGTCGCGGCCCCTGGGTTCACCCAGCTGTGGTAAAAGCACAGTTGGAGGTGTATAGCAGGTGAGAGTCTGATGTGAGGAGTTACAGGAGCAGCGTCGGGCAGGCTGGGTCGGTAACAGTGGTGGCAGCGTAGTACAAAATCAGCAGGCAGAGGGATAAACAGGTCACAAGCCGGGTTCGTTAACAGGAGGTCAGAACGTACAGGGTAAAGCAGGAGAATGGTCAGACAAGCCAGGGATCAGAGCAGGAGATGGACAGCAAATCAGGGTCAGGACAGGGTTGGCAACAAAACAATCTACAATCAGGAACTTCAGGAAAACAGGTAAGACCATACGGCAATTCATTGCAGTCTGATCCTGTTTTAAATAGGGTGCCCTGAGCCCCAATTGGTGCCAGGCTCACGATCGCGAGTGCGCGTAGCTCATGCGCGAGCGCCGTTGAAATCGCAGATGCCCTGGTCCCAATGCTCGTACGCTAGTGCAGCCGGGGGCACACCGCGCATGCGCAGACCTGCACGCGATTGCGGCAGCCACTGGGGTCCCTGACACCCAGCCATAGCCGCCGACAGCCATCAGCAAAAACACTCTCTGCCCATAGGCATAATGCGGCAAGCAAAATTCAGCTTGCAACAACAGCTGCAGCTGGCGAAGCCGCAACTTCCATAGTCCGATGGCCCCGCGAACCTCAGACCAGAGGGCCTCCAACCTATCTTCAGGCAACCGACATTCCATAGCCAGGGAATCCAAGAAAATACCCAAAAAGGTAAGGGACAGAGTAGGCCCCTTCAATTTGTCCAAAGCCAAAGGAATCCAGAACTGGTCTGCCACATGATGCAACATCCCAAGCAAAACCAAACAAACATTAGAGGAAGGCGGGCCCCACACACAACAAGTAATCCAAATATTGAATGACCAAACTTATTTCAGAGACATCCCACACCACCCATTCGAAGAAGGAGCTAAAAGTTTCAAAGAACACGCACAAAATGGAGCAGCCCATAGACATGCAACGGTCAACATAGAATGCCCCCTGCCGCGTACAACCCAACAAGTGAAAACTGTCTGGGTGGACTGGAAGTAGCGGAAAAGCGGACTCAATATCCGACTTTGCCATGAGCGCACCACGCCCCTAATGGCGCACCCAGAAAATCGCCGCATTGAAGGACATATAAGTCATCGCACATGCCTCGGGGGCTATGGCATTATTGACAGAGCCACACTTTGGAAAAGACAGGTGGTGAATTAACCGGAACTTGCCAGGTTCCTTCTTGGGAACCACTCCAAGTGCAGAGATCACCAAGCCCCCAACACTGGGTGAGGGAGGAAAAACGGCCGGCACACTCCCTTCCCTGCTCCGCGGCGGACCCCCCGACCCCACGCTAGGGTCAGAGCGATGAAACAAGTCATGCAAACCCAATAACAAATCCTGGATCCCCAAAGACACCCCGACCACTGCCGTGACGGCGTCCGCCGTCCACAGGGTGGATGCCTCCTTACCAGCATCCACCACAAACCACCTGCAGCGTGAGAGCCCATCCCTGCCACCTTATCTAACACCTCCCGCAAAACAGAACTCACAGACATAGAAGACAAGACAGACATACATTCACTGGGCTGCCAAGGACTGGGCCCAACAGCAGCCACGTCGGACTCTCGCGTTGCCGGACAACCACGCTCCGCATCATCTTCAGATCCAGAACACTTGCCTTCTGACCGGTTGTCCTCCACAGCATGCCGGGATCCGCAGCTGTCCCTCTCCCTCGTCGAGCTGCCTCCCTGACCGGGACCACAGCAAGGGAGGTGGCCGCATGCTCCCGACATCTCTGACAAGAGGGAGGGGGAGATGCACTTGCAGCTCCACTCCCCATCCCCCTGCAAGGACCCGCCCACGGCCGAGGATTCCTCCCAGGCTCCCCACTTCTGGCAGCTAGCAACTGTTCATCAGGGGGGCCTGAAGGGTCCCTGATGGGGCTCCTAATCCAGCGCCAAGCCCTGGGGGAAGAGTCCAGACTGAAGCACTCTGGCGGCAGGGACTGCCGAGCACGTTGGAGCTCCTGCCCCCTCACAGGTGATCCCGGATACCAATCCTCCAGGAGGGATGCCAGCTGATCCTGCAGCCATCCAGTGCCCCGAGCAGAAGCAGCAGCCCTGGGCTGAGAAAGAAGCTGCTCCAGCTCAGCCATCCCGCCCAACAAACAAGCCTGATCTCTGCCAGGCTTTGTTCTCCCAGGTGAAGCTTCTTCTTCTTCCAAACTTCCCCACTGGACTTCCTGAGGACAGACCCTCCTTTTCCTCCATGGGAGACCCTCCCCAACATCCCCCATCCAATAAGGTAAGCCTTAATCCCCAAAACTTCCTTCCCATAATTGAACCCTCTGTTGTCCCTCTATTCCCCCTAGTCATGTCGACCCTGCGCTTATTTTTTTTTTTGCTCCGGGCCTACCTGGTGTGATAGGTGAAATTGGTAGTTTTTCATTACAAAATGTATATAATAGAATATTTTAAACCAGACAAAATTCACATTTGGCTTAAAGATTTTTCAGATGCCTTTATTGCATTTTGCTTTTAATATACACAGGAAGTTTGACTATGGAATCTGAGTTATAGAAATCACAAACAAATGGATATTGTTTATATTTGATTTCAGATCAAGAGCTATGCATTGCATAATGGGAACATGGGCTTTTAACGGTTCAAGTTGTAATTTGATCCATTATTCTTTCATTACAGAAGTGCTGTGTCAAACGATTTTCATTATCCTCTCAGCATGTTATTTGCTGTGGACCACATGATATCTCTAAAATTCCATTACATTTGTCTAATGAAAGCACTTAAGAGGTCACAATTACTGGTATAAATTAAGCCCAGATAAGATAGTACGAACGTAATTAGGAAGAATTTTTGACATTAGAAAGAGAACTTTTTAGAATTAACCTAATTAAGTAAAAAAAAGAGCATTATAAAAAAAAACTGCCTGCATTAAATATTTTGTAGTTCTATTGCCACATTTACAATGCAATAACTGCAATAAAGAATGGCCAGCATCTCGCTGTGTGGCTGATAAACCGCTATAGGTTGCAAGCTATGGCACACATATAACCTATGATTCCAATTAAATCCTTTGGGTGGTAGCATCTTCCTGGATAAGACTCGTCCTGTTACATCATACTAGAGAGACTCAAAAATAGGACAAGGCTGGTAAGGGTAAATCAGACGCTCAACTCAATAGATACAATAAAATCAAGTACATAAAATAAAAAGAAAAAGAAGATCAAAATTTATATATATATATATATATATATATATATATGAATGAATAAAAATGTTTTAGTAGAAGTTAAAAGCAGAAGTAAAAATGACATATGTGTATGGAGATTGTCACAAGTTAGCCTGCAGCCTCTTGTGTGTTTATTCTTACTTCCCTGCAGCTCTTGATTCCTTCACATGTGTGTTTGTCTGTGCTCACCTGTGGGCGTCATCTGCTATCCTCTGGGTTTTATGTCCTTCCCTTCTATCACTTCCTGGCCCGCCTTCTAGCTGGCTTGTCTATTTAAGACAAGCTCAGTCTGTCCCACTTTGCCTGAGCAACTTCATGTTGTTGGAGCTCCCATGTGGTTCTGCTGTGAATCCTCTGTTGTCTATCTGTGTACTGACCCCAGCTTCGTTCCTGACCTTGCTTGTTTTCCGCCTGTCCTGACCTTGCCTTGTCCATTGGATTCCATGTGTCTTCTCCCTTTGTACCCTGCTCCCGCTAGCGGTCTCCTCCACCTCAGCTGGGTGTACCTGGGGGCCGTGACCTGGTCCCAGCCTGCTTCAAGTCCATCCCCACCATCAGGGGCCCTGGTGAACAAGCTGTGGACATATAGAGCTCACTACCATAGGTGTTCACAGTTTGCTCAAGCCATGAGGTCTTTGGAGAAACCGCGGCCTGTCCTGGAACAACTTCAAGAGTTGGCGCTGAGATTCGAGGTCCAGCAGGCCTTTCAAGAACAAATCATGCATTGTCTGCAGGAACTCTCCTCCCGGTTGGATCAGCTACAGGTTGTGTCCACCCTCTGTTTTGGCCCCTGCTCTGGTTCCCGCTGCTCCAACTTCCGCTGTTCCTCCAGTGGAACACTGTCCTTCGAGACCCAGCTGCCTCCACCGCCTCACTTCTCTGGTGATCCCAAAGCTTGTCGGGGTTTCATCAATCTGTGCTCAATTCACTTTGAGCTAGCAGACCACCATTTTTCTACTGACCATTCCAAGGTGGCATATATGATTTCCCTCCTTTCTGGTGAAGCACTGGCTTAAGCCTCGCCACTGTGGGAGCGGCAAGATCCAACTATTTGCAGCCTCCCAGCCTTTCTGCAAGCTTTCCGTAAAACCTTCGATGTGCCCGGCAGGACTTCATCCAGCGCAGAAGCTCTTCTTTGGCTTCGTCAAGGTAGCAGGACTGTTGGACAATATGCAGTTCATTTTCGCTCCTTAGCTTCGGAACTGGCATGGAATAATGAGGCCCTCTCGGTAGCCTTTTGGCAGGATCTATCAGACCGTATTAGGTGCGAACTAGCTGGAAGAACCATACCCACCACCCTGGATGACTTGATTGCTCTTAGCATCTAGATCGATATCCGCTTCCAGGAGCAAGATCTGGAAAGGGCTTATCCACGTCGCCCTCCCATGGGTTCTTTTGCTCCTGTTTTCCAGAAAGTCCTGATCAACTTACCTCTGCTACCGTACCGACATCTGAAGAGCCCATGCAGTTGGGCTGAACACACCTTACTCCACAAGAGCAATCACGTCGCCTAAGATTTGGTCTATGCCTTTACTGTGGGGCTGAAGGTCATCTAATTAAGTCATGTTCTGTCCGCCCACCTCGCATTGTACCCGTGGCTGAGGCCACCACCTCTCGGATGCTCCTTCAACATTGTCAGATCTTACAAGATGTTTCTTGTAGTAAAGCTTCTCCCCTGCCTACTCCTATTGCGGGCCCCCTTCCGGTGCTGTCTACCTCTAATTCCTTACCCTCTTTGCTGCCCAAATCTTCGGTCCCTTTACATACTTTGCAGCTCAGAGCTCCTGTGTCGCTACCTTCTGGGTGGGTGGAGGTCCCCACATCTGTGACCTCTGTACCATCTGAGTTCCCAGATTCATGTGCACTGCATGCTGAGACCCCAAAACTCCCTTCAGCTGCTTTCGACCCAGCCGTGGTTTCCACATTAGTAGCTACTGCACCCTCTGTCCCCTGTCCTGCCCTCCTACACCGTACAGTGCCTTCTGTCCCCTGTCCTGCCCCCATACACCCTACAGTGCCCTCTGTTCCTTGTATTTCCCCAGGTTCCTGTTCTGCACAGCCTGTCTTGCACACTGTTCAAATCAAAGCCTTCACGCCTACTCCTGTGCCCTCCCTGGCAGCCTCCTCACCAGACCCTTCATCCTAGTTATTGGTGTCTGCTCCAGCCCAGGCTCCTGTCGTATGTTCTCCTATTCTTACTCCTTCTGAGGAAAAGGTTTCCAACAACTTACATCTTTCCAAGTACAAAGTAGCTGCAGATTGTCATCACCGGGTGAGTCCCAAATTTTTCCCAGGTGACAAGGTTTGGCTCTCTACCAAGAGTATCCGTCTATGAGTACCCTTTATGAAATTTGCTCGTCGGTTAATTGGTCCCTTTACCATCCTTCACCAGGTCAATCCTGTTGCTTTTAAACTTCGCCTCCCTTCACATTTGAGAATCCCTAATGTTTTCCTTGTTTCTCTTCTGAGACCGTTTATCATCAACAGATTTTCCCATCCTCCAGTCAATTAGATGCAAGAGGGAGGTTCTTGTATCTAATTGACTGGAAGGGATATGGTCCTGAGGAGAGGTGTTGGATTCCTTCTACTGATGTTTCTGCACCCCGTCTGGTGGAATTTTTTCAACAGAAGTTTCCCCTTCCACCTTGCCCTAAATAAGTGGGGAGACCTCGTAAGGGGGGGGGGGTACTGTCACAAGTTAGCCTGCAGCCTCTTGTGTGTTTATTCTTACCTCCCTGCTGTTCTTGATTCATTCACGTGTGTTTGTCTGTGCTCACCTGTGGGAGTTGCCTACTATCCTCTGGGTTTTATGTCCTTCCCTTCTATCACTTCCTGGCCCACCTTCTAGCAGGCTTGTCTATTTAAGACAAGCTCAGTCTGTCCCACTTTGCCTGAGCAACTTCATGTTGTTGGAGCACCCATCTGTTTCTGCTATGAATCCTGTGTTGTCTATCTGTGTACTGACCCCAGCTTCATTTCTGACCTTGCTTGTTTTCCGCCTGTCCTGACCTGGGCTTGTCCATTGGATTCCCTGTGTCTTCTCCCTTTGTACCCTGCTCCCACTAGCGGTCTCCTCCACCTCAGCTGGGTGTACCTGGGGGCCGTGACCTGGTCCCAGCCTGCTGAAAGTTCATCCCCACCATCAGGGGCCCTGGTGAACAAGCAGGCTGGGGCTTAGACTCCACGCCCTGGGGAAACCAAAACTGTGGACCTATAGAGCTCACTACCATAGGCGTTGACAGAGATGTAGGAAAAATAGGGCCAGAAGAAAATACAAACTCGAGTGTGAAAAACTGTTTTTTATAAAACAGTTGATATGCCTGTCAACGTTGAGACCATAAGGTCTATAGGTCTTAAGGACATAACTCCAACGTGTTTCTAGTTTGGATATATCCCTCCTGATGGTGCCTTCCCTCCAATGGGGTGTATATTTGTCAGTGGCCAGAAATAAAGTGCCCTCTGGGTTCTTATTATGGCATCTGGCTAATACGTTGAAAATAATGGCCACTGTATATTTTCAACATGCTCATTGAGACACACCGGTAACATACGAACAGTGCACCCCACATATTGCATGTCACAAGGGCACTAGATTAAATATACAACTTTTTGGTGGAACATGTCATGAAAGTTTGTATTTCATAATTTTTATTAGTATGCTGGGATTGGAATGATGTAACTTTTTTACCCATAAAACTATTAACCTGACATGTGGCATATTTGTGACAGGGATAAAATCCTACAAGAGACCCAAAGAATGTGGAGAATCTAAAACATTCCCTACAATTTTATCACATATGACAAGGACCCTTCTATTGATAACATTAGGGCATTCCTGAAGCAAAGAATTTTGCAGTTTTGCAAATAATTTTTTTAACTGCATAATGTTGCAGCGAATAATTGGTCACCAAAGACCAATTAAATTGGTCATCATAATTTTTTTGGGTTTAACAATCAGCATTGTATTACGATCCTTCTTTCCCATCTGATCAATAACCATTTAACTTATCAGTGTTGTAACCTCTCTCAACAAACCTGGTTCTCAAAACCTGTACCTGCAGGTAATATTCTTCCATATTAGTACAGTTTCTACGAATCCTTTGAAACTGACTTTTTGGAACTGATTTAAGCCAAGTGGGGTGGTGGCAACTGGAAAAAGGAATAAGGAAGTTTCTATCTGTTTCCTTAAAAAAGGTAGTGGTGGTAAAACATCCATCAACCACTTTAATGTTGAGATCTAAAAAATGGACTTCATCAACACTTGCCTGAAAGTCCTCTATCATTACAGTTCAAATATTCATTATAAGAGTTGAGAGAACACAGCACTATCAGTACACTACTACACTACTCTGTATATGCGGTTGCCACCTATAATGAGTGAATTGTTTGTGTTAACCTTGGAGGTGAGTATTTTTAACCTTTAAAAGGTTAAGGACACTGGGTTCTGATTTTGTTCAGTTAAAGGATTTTGCACTGCACATTGAACTTTATGGTGGAGTGGAGAGTTATGAACTGTTGGTTTTGACTTTCACAAACATTCTGGACATTTTTATTAATTTATTATATGAATGTTGAAAGAAAAAAAAAAGTATGTGATACATTTTTGGACATGTTTTTGTTTATTTACACATGAATTTCACAGGGTGGTTTATTTATTAAAGCGAATGTAAAGCCATATTTAAATAAGTAAATAAATAAACAAACATGTTATACTTACCTGCTCTGTGCAATGGTTTTGCACAGAGCAGCCTCTATCCTCCTCTTTTTGGATCCCCTGATGGCACTCCTGGTCCCTCTCTCCTGACAGGTACCCCCATAGCAAGTAGCTTGCTATGAGGGCAACTGAGCAGGCTCACTCCTGTGTGACCCCTGCTCTATGTGCCCCACTCTCTCTTCATTGGCTTACTGGCTGTGACTGACAATAGCATGGGCCAATCAGCCAATGAGATACCCAGGAAAGCCAAGTCCCCATGCACGTCGCTGGATCGAGAAGGGGCTCAGGTAAGTATTTTGGGGGGATGCTGCACACAGAAGGTTTTTTTTACCTTCATGCATAGAATACATGAAGGTAAAAATTCTTGAGCTTTTACAACCACTTTAATTCTATTGGATAGTATATTTTATAGATATATGGAAATGAGATCATGAATATATTTATGCACTGATTGAAATGAGAGTACAAAGACATTTTTGCACTTTTAGATTTGCTGGGGTGTAGAGCAGTCACAACTTGGTTACTTATTAAAACATGTAAATAGTTTATGATACGCAGTGATTTAAAAAAAAAAAAAACACAACTAAATGTCTTTCAGTTTGAGTTTACATCTACTTTACTTTATATAACACAAAGTGCTATGATTTTATGTCACAACTGAGAAGCTTTATACTATATAATTCTCTTTATTGATGCCTTTTTAACATGTTTCAAAGTTTTCTAATCTAATTTCATTCTAAAGAATGTGGTATAACTTCCAATTGAAAGTCTAATCTAGCAAAAAAAGAAAAATGTATACTTTATGTTTGTGCACACATGTTTTATGAACTCAAAACTTTTGAGTTCAATTTGCCCTGCAGATATCCATTCATAATAAATTATACACAACCCAGAAAATTATCATACTAAACTTCTACAGAGTAATAAAGTTGGAAAAAAAACAAAAGAGAAATAAAGTTTCTAAAAAGTCAGCAAAATGAGCTCTCAAAACAATTTGCAGGAAAATACATATCATATATCAATCACTGTCATTTATTCATATGAAAATAAAATTAATGTTTATAGTTGTAAACCTTTGCCTGTTTAGGTGTGCACCTGAACGTCAGACTTTTTGCTCATTCCGAGGGTGCCAAACATCATGCATAGTAGTATTTCTACTGTTACCATTTATGACAAGTTCCTGACAATGGTTGTTAAGGAAGCAGCACCCCTTGTGTCCTTAACATCCAGTGATAGCCCATGACCCCATTCATTTACTGGCTGGGAAACCCCAGCCATGCCAACAAAGGGGAAAGGATAGTGCTGCCATCACTGACTAAATTAGGCCACATGGGGATTACTAATTTTGGACATGAACATATTTGGTCACTGACATTTCCCATGAGACTCCGCCCCCTTGTTAATATTTAGCTGGGACTGGGAGAGATGTTCCAGGAGGGGAGTCTAGCAAAGGGTACAGACTTGTCAGCTGTTGGTTGGATTTGACAAGAATCTGCATAGCTGAACGTTGTGATTCATGATAAATTTACATCATGAGACATTTCTTTTTTTTGTTTTTAAATAAAATGATTTGTCAAAATGTGTTTGCCTTTATTTTATTGCATTTTTTTGTGTGAATTAGTAGGGGTACTCAGTACTTCTTGCTCATTCATGTGTGTGTGTGTGTGTGTGGGGGGGGGGTTGGTATCTGGAGGCTCCTAATTTGTAAAGGGGGTTTTCATATATCAATAAGCCTCCTACTCACAGAGCCCCACAAACACTGGGCCACTGGTTTCAAGGAAAAGCCCTTGTACCCATCAACTATGGGACAAGGTACTTTGCCAGTGGGAACCAATTATGTTTGCCTAGTATAGTTTGGGGGGAGAAGCACACACTTGTCCCTCCTTTCCTTCAGCATGCCTGAATAGGGTATTAATTTTTGGGGACCTCTCATAATTTTTTTCTTTTTTTTTTTTTTTTTACAGGGGTTCCTATCAACTACCTGGTGATGGAGGCCAATGGAGAGAGGGCTTCCCTTGCGGCTAAGTTCCAGACTCCCCTGAGAGTGGGACAGCAGGAGTCAAGCCCAAAGTGGCACAGGTTGCCTGTAGGAGTGCTTGTTGGTGGTCCACCCAGGAGCACAGCTGATGCACGGTATCAGGTCTGCAGACAGATGGCACCTGTGCGAGGTATGCAAGCCCTTCTGGGAATAGAGGATTACTGGATAGCCCGTTCAAGCCAAGGTCAGGTACCAGGTGGGAATCAGAGCAGATGTAGTCAGATGGGATAGCGGAGGTCATACACAGAGGAGCGAATGAGAGAGTATCCTTTAGCCAAGCCAAGGTCATACACAGAGGAGCGAGAGAGAAAGAATATCCTTTACCCAAGCCGAGGTCAGATCAGGGGTTAAGCAGAGTAGACAGGTCCAAGAGCAAGCTGAGTCAGTATCAGGATGTCACAGGTCACAGGAAACAGGAACCAGGAACAAGGTATAGGGAGCTAGAGATCATCCAGCAACTTGAGGAAGTGATGAGCCTCCTTATAAAGGTCGCCTGGCACCAAACTGAGGCTGATGCGTGCTTCTGCGGCCATGCAGGGTACTGGTAGAAATGCCAGATCTTCCATAACTTCTGCTGTGGACAGGACCCTGACAGTGCCCCCCACCCCTTAAAGGGCACTCTCCGGATGTCCACATGGGCCATCTTTTCAGGATACTTTGAACAAAATTCTTGGAGAAGCCTAGGGGCATGTACATTGCCTTTTGGTTCCCAGGAACTTTCTTCAGGTGGGTACCCCTTCCATCTGACCAAGTACTGAATTTGTCTTCCCCGCCTTCTGCAGTCCAGAATTGCTTCAACCTCGTATTCCGCCTCCTCCCCAACTGTTATCGGCGGAGGAGGTGGTTCTACTCTCCCTGGAAATGGATCAGGAACAGCTGGCTTGAGTAAGGAGACATGAAAAACTGGATGAATCTTGTATGATTTAGGAAGAAACAGCTCATATGCCACTGGATTAATTTCCCTCTTGATCTGGAAAGGGCCAATGTACCTTGGTCCCAACTTTCGTGACGGGAAAGGGAGTTTTAAGTTGGCAGTTGACAGCCAAACTTTGTCTCCGATCTTCATAGGAGGGTTTCCTCTCTGTTTCCTGTCCTAGTGCTTCTTAAAATCAGCCTGGGAATTCTGTATAGACTCTTGGAGAACTCTACAGTTGTTCAGCATCATGGAGAGTCTTTCCTGTACTGTGGGTACTGAAGCTTCAGGAATGGTGTCCAGTATGCAAGAAGGGTGGAATCCATAATTGGCCCAAAATGGTGATTGGTTTGTGGCTGAATGGACTGAGTTGTTGTAAGCAAACTCCGCCAATGGGAGTAGGGATGCCCAATCATCCTGGGAAAAAGCATAGAAGCACCAGAAATATTGCTCCAAAGTCTGGTTCGTTCGCTCCGTTTGCCCGTTACTCTGAGGATGGTAGGCAGACAATAGGCAGAGTTCCACCTTCAGGGCCTTGCAGAGGGCTCTCCAGAACCTGGAAGTAACTGCACTCCTCGGTCTGTGACAATATTACTGGGCAGACCATGTAACTTAATGATCTCTTTGATAAAGGTATGTGCAGTCTCTGGCGCAGATGGAGTACCCACCATTGGTAAGAAGTGGGCCATCTTGGATAGCCGATCCACTACTACCAGAATGGTAGTAAACCCCTCAGAGGGTGGCAAGTGCACAATGAAGTCAATTGCGACCATCTCCTAGGGACGATCAGGAATGGGCAGGGGCCTCAGTAACCCCCAAGCCTTGGTTTTGTTTCCCTTGCTACGCAGACACACTGTGCAAGATTTCACATAGGCTCTACAGTCTTGATTCCAGTTGGGCCACCAAAAGGATCGCTGGATCAGTTCTATTGTTTTACGGGCTCCAAAGTGTCCAGCCAGTTGATGATCATAGAAAGTCCTGAAAATTCGAGATCTTACTTCTTGGGGTACAAAGATCTTATCCTTGTGCCAAAGAAGACCATCCTGCCTTCTTAATGAGTCTTGTCCAGGTTCAGAACATAGTGTAGATGCTTGCTTGATCAAAGACTTTAGGCTGGGTTGAATCAGCAAAAAAAGTTGGGCCGACAAGATGGTGTTGGGGGTAGAAGGCTCCTTAGGATATCGTCCATGTAGACAATTATGAAGGGATCAAGGTATTTTCTAAAGATGTCGTTTACAAAGTGTTGAAACAGCAGGGGCATTACATAGCCCAAACGGCATCACCAGGTACTTGAAATGTCCAAAGCGTGTTTTGAAGATGGTCTTCCATTCATCGCCTTCTGTTATGCGGACTAAATTGTAGGCCCCCCGTAAGTCCAATTTAGTGAACATTCGGGCTGTTCGAAACCTCTGAAACAACTCGGGCACAAGAGGAAGAGGTTACCGATTCTTAATGGCAATTTTGTTAAGCTCTCTGTAGTCAATGCAAGGTCTGACAGACTGATCTTTCTTTTCAACAAAGAAAATACCAGTCCCCGCAGGAGAGGAAGAGGGGCGGATGAATCCCTTAGCGAGGTTCTCATCTAAGTAATTCTGGAGGGCTTCCAGTTCAAGCTCGGACAATGGGAAAATTCAGCCAAATGGTATTTCTGCCCCTGGAAGTAACTCAATTGGGCAATCGTAAGACCGATGAGAAAGCAATGTGTCGGTCTTCTTTTTATCAAACACATCAAGGAAGTCATGGTAGGTAGAGGGAACTCATTGACTGGCCTCTGGTGAAGGTTGGACTGAGAGACATCCGGAAGAATTGGTGAGAGTAGGGGCTGCAGACAATATTCTGATGAAAAGATGATTTCTTTCTTGGGCCAATTGATCTGTGGATTGTCGGCTTGCAACCAGGGTATTCCTAGGATGGTTGGAAACATAGGGGATCTGATAACTTGAAAACAATGAACTCCTGATGGCCGGAGTCAGTTGTTGCTAGAATAGGAATGGTTTCCTGGGTAACAGGTCCTGAGCTTGGAGTAGTGCCATCTGCTAGTAAAACGTCTAGTCTATGTTTCTTAGGCAGAAGAGGGCAGAAGAGGGATATGTAAGTCCTTGGCAAGTTTGATGTCCAAGAAACAGCTACAGGCTCCTGAGTCAATGACTTCCCGTAACTTGACGTCCCTTTCAGCCACCTGCAATGATATGGGGAGAGAATGACATGGGTGGTAAAGTTCTGAAAATAACTGAAGGTACGAAGGATGGGTCTGGTTGGACTTGGTCACACTGGGCAGTTACGCAAGAAATAACCTGTGGCCCCACAGTAGGGACATAGATTGTCTTGCTGTCTGAGTTAGAGCAGGTCAGAGAAGGCCAATTTGCATTGGTTCTACCTCAGAAATGCTGATGGGTTGCGGAGTAGGGGCAGGAGCCGTTGGTCCTGGAACCTTTGGCAGAACCCATGTGGGTCAAAAGGTCTGAGTACGCTCAGCACTTCTTTCCCGCAGACGCCGATCCAACTAGGTAGAGAGCAGAATAAGGTTCTCCAAGGAGGAGGGAGCTTCCACCCTAGCTAACTTGTTCTTGAATGATTCGGACAGGCTTAGACGGAACTGGTACTTTAATGCTGCGTCGTTCCAACCAGTATTCGCTGACCATTTGCGGAACTCCACTATGTAGTCCTCCACAGGCTGCCAACCTTGTAGTAGAGCATGGAGGGTGGACTCAGCAGTGGAGGTCTTCTTGGGATCATCATAAAGGGCAGCCATGGCTTCAAAAAATTCACTCACAGAGTTGAGTGCTGGGTTTTTTTGTTCTAGTAGGCCATGTGCCCAAGACTGAGGTTCTTCAGACAAGAGGGAGATGATGAATCTGACCTTGACTGCTTCCAGTGAAAAGGTTCTGGGTTGTACAGAAAAATACAGTTCATGGGCATTTTTGAAAGCTTTGAATTTACGTCGATCCCTGAGGAAACCTTCAGGAGGTGGTAACACCACAGCAGGAGTGGTAGCAGGAGACGGACTGGCAGGTGTGGCTACAGGGTTAAAAGTGACGGAAGGAACCTAGTCCACAGAAGTAGTGAGGGAGTGAAGATGCCCTTCCAGCTGGAAGCATCCTTGCTGTAGATCTTTCACTGCTTGAGTAAGCGCCGTCATCTGTTGGCACAGAGCCTCTAGTGTAGAAGTGCCTCTCTCGGCTTAGGACATACTGGCTGGATGATACTATCATGTACCTGGTAATGGAGGCCAGTGGAGAGAGGACTTCCCTTGTGGCTAAGTTCCAGACTCCCCTGAGAGTGGGACAGCGTGAGTCAGGCCCAAAGTGGCACAGGTTGCCTGTAGGAGTACTTGTTGGTGGTCCACCCAGGTGCACAGCTGATGCACGGAGATGTGGTCTGCAGACAGATGGCACCTGTACGAGGTATGCAAGCCTTCCGGGAATAGAGGATTACTGTATAGCCGGCTCAAGCCAAGGTCAGGTACCAGGTGGGAATCAGAGCAGACGTAGTCAGATGGGATAGCCGAGGTCATACACAGAGGAGCGAGAGAGACAGTATCTTTTAACCAAGCCAAGATTATACACAGAGGAGCGAGAGAGTATCCTTTAGCTAAGCCGAAGTCAGATCAGGGGTTAAGCAGAGTAGACAGGTCCAAGAGCAAGCCAAGTCGGTATCAGGAAGTCACAGGTCACAGGAAACAGGAACCAGGAACAAGGTACGGGGAGCTAGAGATCATACAGCAACTTGAGGAAGTGATAAGCCTCCTTATAAAGGTCGTCTGGCACCAAACTGAGGCTAATGAGTGCTTCTGCAGCCATGCAGGGTACTGGCAGAAATGCCAGATCTTCCAGAACTTCTATAACAGACCCTCATACAGGATGAAGGTCTGAGATAGATGATGGGAATCCCCAGTCACTTTCTTTACAAACAGAAGTAAGCAGCCAAAGCTGTAATTTGCCAGCAATTTAAACTGCATTTTTGCCTTGTAAATGTCACTTTTGCTGCAGTAGATTGTATAAATTATACAGATGTGCCACTTCACAGGCAGGTTAAGAGCACCACCAGGCTTGTTAACAATTTTGTATTTTGATGTTTCACTTTAATCATTGTAAAATTGCTGCTCTCTGCCAAAAATAATCAAATTTTTTGTTTGCCTCAGCACAAGTTCCCTGGGGTGCCCAGTCCCCATGCCATTGTTTGACAATCCCTTGAGCATTAGTGTAGAAAATGGTGTGACAGTGCTAGGCCCTGTCACTGTGTAAAGGACAGAGGATTCATACGTTTGGGAGTATCAGTTATGGGTGAAGAAAACTGTTTTTATGGTTTTCTCTGGATTTTAGTATTCCTGGATTGGGCTCTGTAGTTTGGAGATTCCAAAGCATTTAGCATTTGACTTCCAATTGACTTCAGGGAGGTTCAGATTGGCTTTAGTAAAATTTGCTGAACCTGCCTCAAGCTGAAATTTAGGTATGTTTTTCTCATTCATAATACAAACAGTTTA